CTGGATATCTGTGCCATGTATTTGTCATTCCTAAAGCAACTTTCCACCTAATACGGAAAGTCTTTAGTCTCTAACATTGCTCTGAGATGGTTTCTGCTTAAGCACATTCATTGAAACAGCTCACTTCATATTTGGATTTCTCTGTTTGTTAAAAAGTTCCTCCCTGGTAGTATGGTACAGAGTAAGGGGATGGACTGATTTAGATTTACCTAAAGCTAATTCTGATTCTGCCACTGTAATTCTATTCTAGGGCCTCGGTTTTCCATCTGAGAAATGAAAAAACTTGAACCAAGTCACCACGAAGTTTTCTTCCAGCTTTAAGATCCTATTATTCAAATGAGTCAATATCTGCCTCTTAGAGACATGCTCCATTGGCCCCAATTACACTGTCTGGATTTGTGCAGTGGCTCTTCAAACATTTGAGGACCTAAGCCCCTTTGAGATTTTTTGTTCCAGGTTAAACATGACCTGTTTTAAAAATCATTTCTCATATGATAAGGTTCTGAATTTTTCACCATTCTGGTCATTCTCTTCTGGACACTCAAGTATTCCAGCATCCCCCTGAAAGTGTGGATCCCAGAACTCAATCCAGCTAGTCGTGCAGTGGGAGTATCCTCACCACTTACCCACATGCTCAGCCTGCCCCTCCTGGCCGATGGGACCCACACTGACCAATGCACAGACTGAGAGGAAGCAGCTGCTAAAACTTTCCCAGATCTAGGGATAATTGTATTTTGTAGTTTTACAGGCCCTTCCTTCAGGCTGCATGCAGAACAGATGCAGAGAGCATGGAGTCAAATCTGGAAGGACGCAGTGCTTCCCCCAAAGATCGGTACGTAGCCAAGAGCATACTAACAGAACAGGTGCTACTTCTTAATAAACATGGAAGGAAGATTTGCCAGATATGTCATTATGTTTGCAGGAGTGTTTTTTTTAAATGAGGCACTGGGTGTTCATATCTCTACTGATTAAAAAAACCTTCTCTCCAACCCTTCCCTTTTGCTATGCCCTCTCCCTATTCTCTCTGATATACATGTCAAATGACCCCTTTGCCCTAGAAACTCTTGAATTTGTCCTTTATATAGAAGGACAGGTGCAAAAGCTGTTGCTTAAGGAAAATAAAATAACAACAAAGAAAAGCAAGAGCAGATTTGGAGAGGGTCTGGCCTGACCATGAGCCTATGAAAACAGTGAAGTAAAGGTCGTTCTGGGAGGAGTCTGACACCTGGACTGATGGGGGGCTTTTCTCACCACCCTAACCCCAAGGAAGGGGCATTCTGAAGACCACGAGGTCCCATGTGATGCGGCGCCAGCCCATCTCTCTGGACCTTTCTCTTCCACTGTCCCCCCTTATTCAGATCCAGCCACCCTGACCTCCATTCTATTCTTTGTAAACACCAACCTGCTCTCAATTCAGGGCCTTTGCATTTTCTGATCTCTGTCTGGAACACTCTTTTCCACTGCATGGCTCACTCCTTCACTTCACCGGGCCTTTGTTCAAATGTCACCTCATTAGAAGTTGTTCTCTGATTGCTTTATCTCCCCGACACATTGTGCTATAGTCCTTTACTCTGCCTTATCTTTCTTAATAGAACCTATCAACATCTGACATATACTTAATTGCTTATTTGCACTATTAGACCATAAACTCCATAAGGCAACGGCTTTGCTTTCCTCACTATTGATCCTCAGTGCCTCGAAGTGTACCCAGTACATACTGAGCTCTCAACCAATATTTGTTGGGGTGTGACTTTTTTTTTTTTTTTTTTTTTTTTTTTTTTTTTT